CCAGCCTCCTCCAACGGATTACCCCTCTGTCATCCCCACACTTTCGCTCATTTTAATCTCTATTGGCTCATTTCCTATTGCCTATAAACATGCCCACATGTCAGAGTCTTCTCTGACTTTATTCTTCCATCCCTGTGAACTGTCATCCACTGTCGCTTTGGCTCTTTTGTAGCTGAACTCTGAACAGGCCATCCATAATGGCAGCCTCTCCTTTTGCTGCTCTTACTCTCTTCTTAACCCCTCACAACGCGGCTGCTGGCCTTGTCACTCCACAAAAACTACTCCAGGTCACTAGTGATGTCTAAGTTGCCGAGTCCAACGGACTTCTCTTAATCCTCGTGCTCCTTGACCTCTCTGCAGCCTTTGACCCCGGCGCTAACTCTCTTCTCCTTGATATTCTCTTCTTCCTCATTTTCCTCCCGCCTGTCTGACCTTTCCTCTTTGACGCATCCTCCTCCAGATCATGCTCTTTAGCTGTAGGCGTCCCCCAGGGTTCTGCACTGCGTCTTCTTCTCTACTCTCTCCATGCTACCGTACCTGGTGATCTCATCAACTCCCGTGGATTTAACTACCATCTTATGCTGATGATTGTCAAATCCACCCTCTCTGATGACCTCCAATCTTGTATCTCCGACTGACTTTCAGACATCTCAAGCTGGACATCCAGTAGATATCTTAAACTCAATACATCTACAACAGAATGCATGATCTTTCTCCTTAAACCTGCCCCGTTTCCCATTACTATAGAGGACACTGCCATCCTCCATTCCCTCAGTCTCACAACCTAGGAGTCACCCTGGATCCCCCAGTATCTCTTACTTCCCTTCACCCATGTCCGATACAGTGCCAAGGCCTACTGGTTTCACCTCTGCAACATCTCTCCAATACGCCCCCTTCTCTCCTGAGACACTGCCACTACTCTGGAGTAGGCCCTTATCACTTTACACCTTGATTACTGCAATAGCTGCTGGGGGGTCTATCTGACTGAAGTTCCCTCCCACTCCGATGCTGCCTCCATTCAGCCACTCAAGCAATTTTCCCAAAGCACAGGTCTGACCATACCCCTAACTCCTCAACAAACTCTAGGGACTCTCTAATGCCTCGAGGAGCAGATAAAAAATTTGGCACTCACAGCCCTTCAGGACCTACCTTTCCAGTCTTTCTACACCTTACTCCCCAAGTCATATTCCTCAACCCAGCGACACTGATCTCCTGGCAGTTCCACAAACAAAACACTGCATCTTCCAACTCCAGGTCTTTTCTCTGGCTGTCCCCTAAGTCTATGGCACTCTCCTCCACTCTGACTACTGACCTCCCTGGCTTCCTTGACTTCTTTTAATTTCCTTCTAACTAAAATCTAACCTCCTATAGAAAGCCTTCCTTAATTCCTTTTAATTCCAGTGCTTTCCCTCTTTTATGTCCTCTTTGTTCCATAGATAGCTTACTTTGCATATATTTGTTCACACATTGTCTCCCTCAATCGATTGCAAGCTACTTGAGAGCGAGGACTGTCTTTTGCCTCTTTTGGTATCCCCAGTGCTTAGCATAGTGCCTGGCACAGAGCAGGTGCTTAATAAATGTTTATTCAGTGATTATTGGTTCAGAAACAAAAACAGATCTGAATGAATGGAAAAATACTATTTATAAGAAAGTTAAACCAGTACAAAACAAATGCAAATACAACAAAAAATAATTTACTTAAGTACTTAACCAATTAAAACCCCAAATGATTATTTGTAAATTGAGTACAATAGCAATAAAATGTATCTGGACTCACAAATGGTCAGAAGTATCAAGGGAAAATTAAGAAAAAAGTGGGAAAGAGCTCTAGCTGGAGCAGATGTCAAACTACACTACAAATCAGTAATCATCACAGCTATCTGATACTGGCTAAAAAAGTAGAGATATTGAATAGAGGCACAAATCAGATATACAACATTGCAAGCCCTAAACCTAATGGTCAGTTGTTCCATGACTCCAGACACCAGCTTCTGTAATAAGGATACGCTATTTGACAAAAAATGCTAAAAAACTAGAAAGAATTGGGTATAAACCATTACCACACACTATGTAACAAAATAAGCTAAAAAAAAGATATATGATTTATACATAAAAGGTCACATCATAATTAAAGCAGAGGGGAGAAATCACCAGTTGTATCTAGGAATTCATAGTCAAAGGACAAAAAGTATTTCAAAAGACAAAATGTACTATTTTGATCACATAATTTTTTTTAAAAATTTGTTCAAGCAAAATCAATTGATCTAAGACTTGAATGGAAAGAGTTAACAGAAAAAAATCTTTGCAGCAAGCTTCTCAGATAAATGTTTTCATTTGCAAGAAAAATAAAGAATTGATTTTAATGTATAAGAATGAGACCACTGTCCAACTGATAAATGGTCAGAGTATATGAATTTGCAGTTTTCAAAAGAAGAAATCTAAGCTACCAATGGCTATTTGGGGAAAAATGACTTCAATATCTAATAATTAGAGAAATACAAATTAAAGAATATCTTGAGTTCTACCATGCGGCCATGGAACAGGTAAATTTAACCAAAAATGCGATGTTGGAGGTTGTGTGGAAAAACCAGCACATTAATACACAATTGATGGTATCTCAATTGGTCCCATTAGTTTGTAAAGCCATAGAGAAATTTGAAATATGTCCCTAGATTAACTAAACTGTATATACTTTTGGACAACTTATCACCATGTCTATAGTTATCACGATCACCGTATCGGTAGGTCTATACTTCACAAAGAACAAAGAAAGCAAGAGAACCCGTATGTACAAACATATTTATAGCACTCTTTTTGTGGTGTAAAAGACCTAGAATTTATGGAGACATCCATCAGTTGGAGAATGACTGAATATACTGTGAGGGTCTACATATATATATACACATAGATATGTATACCCCACATGTACATAGTAAATGATGTGTTAAAAATAATTTGTTAAGCAGTAACTATATGCCAGGCACTGTACTAAGTACTGGGGATTTGAAAGACAAACGAAAATACTCTATGCTCTCAAGATGCTTACGTTCTAACGAAAGAAGATAACATATAGAAGGGATTTGGGAAGCAGGATGGGGCAGTAAAGTGCCCAGCAGGATAGTGTAGCAGAAAATAAGAGGCAGACTTGGGAGAAGAATGAAGAATGACTGGCCTGGGCCCCTGCTCAAAGTGGAAGTTCTGGGAGGAACTAACCAATGGAAGGGGCCTGGGAGACAGAAAGAACTTCAAGGACAAGAAGGCTAACAGGGTTAGCAGAATTTTTGAAGCCATAAGGCAGACGAGGCATGGTAATGAAGTACAGAGAGTCAAGAGATGAAATAATGGTTATCTTGGGGCCCTCTTCAAAATGGAGCTTTCAATGGGAAAGGGGGACCAAACAGGCAGAGAGAACTTCCAGCATGAGAAGGCCACAGGAACTAAGACAACTCCCAAGGTGAGAAGGCGGCAGAAGCATGGTGGTCAAGTCCAGGGAGGGATAATCAGAATCAAGAAAAGATTGGAGGAGGGCTATCCTGAGGCTTCCCCAAAATCAAGATTTAGGGAAGGAAATCACTACTTGCAGAAAAGGACCACAGGAGTGGGAACAGGAACATCTACAAAGGAAAGTTAACAAGCCATTTTGATGTAAATGAAGATTATATGAAGAGGGACAAAATGAAATAAAACGAGAAAGGGAGTTGGAAGAATGGTTGTAGACATATTCAGAGACCAAAGAGAGATGAGTGAATTTTATTTTATAGACAATAAGAAGATAGTGAGGATTTTCGAACAAGAAAGTGTCATGGATTGGAGAGGGGAAAGACTTGAGGAGGGAGTCCCTTTGGAAAGTTGTGGAAATGGTCCCCCTATCTCAATCAAGAGGTGAAGGGCTCAGGATGCAGAATGGAATGTACATTTATGGACAAGGCCAATGTGGGGACTTTTTTTTTTTATTATGCATATGTGGTACGAGAGGTTTGTTTTTATTTTTTCAATGAGAGGAGTAGGATGAAGGAGGGAAATGAAATAAAATTTTTAGATAAAAAAGCTGTTTCAGTATTCTATGGAAAGAGTCATGAGGCTTTAAACTAAAGACCTAAGTTTATTTTATTTCTCTTTCTCCCTGTCTTCTCTTTCCTTTTACATGTGCAGAAATACATATGATATTTATCGGCATATCCATCTGTGTATCAAACATTTAGGATCTTTTGAGGGCCAACTATTTGTAAGAACTTCTGATAGCTAGTGCATTTCCACAGAAAATCAAATACTCACAAATCTGCATAAAGCAAACCCTGGTATTGTGAACGACTAGAAGTCCTTTGTACTCTGATTCTACAGGTACTCCTGGCTAAAGTGGATCTCCCTGACATAATCCAGCTGCCTGCACAGTGACACCAGTTTGTTCTATGTATGTTTTTATAGGGATACTTCTTGGTTAATTAGAATCCCTAAGGGCAGGGACAGTTTCACCCATGTTCTTGTACCCTCAGTGCTTAGCTCAGTTCCTGGCATATAAGTAGATACTTTATAAATACTTATTAACTGATTTATTAATACTGATTATTTGATTGGTTCCCAGTGCTGGTTTAGAAACGTGTCTTCAAAGCACCTCCAGGAAGTTGTGTTTGACAATCCTGACACCACAGGTCTCCCTCCTGTCCCTGAATGGTCACTGAGAGCCCTCATCTATGGCAAGACTGTAATTGTAGGGATACTTATTTGAATATGTCAGCAGCCATTACCCAAATGAGTAGAGTCGAAAAGAATAGTATCCTACCCCTAACACCAACCTCCCTGCCTGATAGGGCAAAGCTGTGTGAGAACATCTCTGTAAAGACCTGAAGGAGATATTCTCAACAGGTTCTTCTAAGAGAAATCAAGGGGCATGGGGAACACTCAAAAATGCCCACAGCTTGTGTTATTTTATAGGTCCCTCTGCCTCTGGCGTCAATTCTTGTCCTCAAGATAACAAGAACATGAATATGAATGAAAAATTCATGAGTATCATCTTCTTCTCCCAGACAGGAATTGGGGTCCTAGGGAATTCCTTTCTTACTTGTCTCTTCATCTTCATATATCTCAGTGGACATAGCCTGAGACCTATAGATACTATTCTCACCCAACTCACCTTGGCCAACTGTTTGGTACTTCTCCCTAAAGGGGTCCCTCAGATCATGGCAACTTTGGGTCTGAAGAATTTCCTTGATGACATTGGCTGTAAAATTGTCTTCTACCTTCAAAGAGTATCTCGAGGTCTTTCCCTCACCATGACCTGCCTCCTGAGTGTCTTTCAGGCCATCACCATAGCTCCTAGCAGGTACAGTTCAGTAGAGCTTAAAACCAGAGCCCCCAAGTACATAATTCCCTCCAGTCTCTTCTCTTGGACTTTCCACCTACTTTTAAATGTCTTCATTGCTTTGGGAATGAAAGGACCAAGGCACGCTGGGAACAGCACTGAAGTTCAACATTTTGAATACTGCTCTTATTTATTTACCCCAAGATATCAAGCTGTCCTGCTCTCAATCATATTCTCTTTTCCTGATGCTCTGTGTTTGGGACTCATGGCCTTTGCCAGTGGCTACATGGTATTTCTCTTGTACAGACATCATAAGAAAGTTCAACAAATTCACATTTCCTGCATTTCTGCCAGAATGTCCCCTGAGGTCAGGGCCACCCAAACCATCCTACTGCTGGTGAGTATCTTTGTCACCATGCACTCACTCAGCTCCATCTTCACAACATACATGCATTTTAGGAAAACTTCGCTCTGGCTGACACAGACCTCTGCCTTCCTGACTTTGAGTTTCCCAGTTGTTAGCCCCTATCTGCTCATCAGCAATGACTCACAAGTTCCCAGGTACTGCTATGCTCTTTGTGGGAGGAAAAGACCACATTCTGCCCTCGCAGCAGATTAGCCTCCTCTACCTAGGATGACCCTATAAAAACTCCAAGGAATGAAACCTGAATCTGTCCCTTGATATTAGACTAAGCTCCCATTTATTAGAAGCAGGTGAAGTTTGAAGTGATTGATCATGGGTGCAGGGGGTGAACAAACTCAGACTAATGATTCTCGGGGCTATTGTTCCTAATGGAATCCCTAGAATCCTAGAATATCATATGTGAAGGTACCTACTATTAGGCCTATACCCCATAGAAATCAACATAAGCAAAAGGATCTATATCTACAATAATATTTGCGGTTGTTTATTTCATGGCAGCCTAAATTGGAATCTAACATAGTGTCATACCTATTGGGGAATGGCCAAACAAATTGTAGCATAATATAATAGTGGAATATTCTTATGCAATAAGAATTGGCAAAAGGTACCATTTCAGAGGATGTTGAGAAGACCCTGCAGAAATGATGCAGGGGAAAGGAAACAGAATCAGAACAATTTATATAATGATAAAGACATTATGGAGAAAATTGTTTTTAAAAGACTTTACATCTCTAGTCAAATCAATGATCAACCACACATCCAGAAGACTGGAAATAAAACATGCCACTCACCTCTTATCAAAGAGGTAAGGAATTTAAAATGCAGTAAGAAAAATACATTTTTTAGACATGGCCAATATAGGAATTTGTTTTGCTAGACAATGCATTTAAGTATTTAAGGCATTGCTTTTCAGGGCTTGAAAAAATTTGCTCATTGGAGGTGAGGTTCAGAGTAGGGATAGATAAATAAGAGAAAAATGAACAAAATATCATGGTACGGAGAGGGTGAGGTCTACAGGGTGGAGGGATTTAATGATATTAAAACAGAATATAAAAATGGATGTCCCTAAGAAAGCTTATACAACCTTATCCCTAAGAATGTCATGTAAAACAACCCTGACAATCTGTCACCCACACACAGATCGAAAACCTTTTGAGACCGGAATCCCACTAACTCGTGAAGCAAGTTGTTCCTTTTTGGAATAGATTCAAGTAACAGACAATGCATATTTAACCACCAGGTGGCAGCATGAGCTACTACTCTTACCCACCCAACCGGAGAAGTGTTCATCTGGGATTCCCGACTTCTTCCCACCCTGAGGTGCCACACACTCGGTAGTTGTGTGCTCCAACCCCCGGCGCAGGAAGTGCCAAGGTTTCCAAAAGTTCTCAGCTCCACCTCCCCGCGTGGCTACACTCACGGTCTCAACAGTCCAGGGGCCAGGTGGCTGAGGCGGATTAAACTCATCCAAATTAACTCTCCAACACACACTTACTGGTCTCTGTTCCTCCTCCCTGAGTCTTCTGTGTTTGTCAAGTAAACTGGTCATAACGGAAATGACTTCTCCAAAAGAATAGATGGAACATGCTTAACCGGATGGAGCACTTTTACTTTGTAAACCCGTAAATGAACAAATAAACCAAAATCTTTGTAAAAGGAATAAAGATCCATATCTATAAAACATCTACTGTCCTTCTGTATTCCTGCCGATTCTCACAGACTGATGTCTCCCTAAACGAGAGAGAGAGAGAGAGAAAGGTAGATTTATATAGACTACATACATACACACACACACACACACACACACATACACACACACATATATATATGTGTAAATATATGTTTTAAGGACGGCATATTTTGTTTTATTTAGTCACAGAAAAAAGCCATGCCTTCTATGAGTTACCCACGGTGTATAGAAAATCCCATATAATTTCCAAGTAATACGTGACTCGTAGTGTCCAGTAGGGCCAGTGGCACAGGCATTGGCCAGGCCCTGCTTCAACCTCTGCTAAGATATACTGGTTGTTGTCCTTCATTTTCGAAGAGAACCAAAATGACATCACCATGTTGGAGTCATGGTCCAGAGTGACCAACTGTGACTGATCAGACCAGTATGAGCTTGGAATGTTCTACCAGCAGTCAGGCACAAATAGCCTGTGTGAACCATTGGGTTGGACTCTCTAAGTCTGCATATCTTGTGTTTCTCTTGAGCTGTTCCAATCCTGCTTTGTTCACAGAGCACAGCACCTTTTCTGATGTGGGCACGCCATGCTGAGCGATCCTGAGATATATACCTGGAGAGTGGTAAGAACAGTAAGAATTTCCTTAGATGGGAGCTGGTACAAAAGCTTATAAACCTTATAAAATAGAGCTAATAAAATAGGGAGGGAAAGGGAGTCAGAAAAGAATGGTTGGAAAAGATAAGATTGACATGCCTGAGGTCACATAGACCCTGTCCTAACTATTTCCTGGGTAATGATTTGGGGATAAAATCCATCACAGGGAGGGTGTTCACTGCTCCTTTGAACAAAAGGAGACCCTCACCTTGGATGGCTGCTCTGAGATTGGGATCAGGAATCAACCTCACTGAGAGAAACAGAGTAAGGCACAGAAAGTCTGTCCGCTGGCTACAGGTATTACTGATTCCAATTTTGTATCATGTATCCTTTCTGTATATTTGATAACTCTACCCTTGCCACATATACACACACATTTATTGGAATATGTGTATAGTTTTACATATGTTTATATTTATACATAAAATACACACCCATATACACATGGTTAAATTAGTATATATGTTATATACACACACATTTTTAAAAAAATTTATACATAACACACACACACACACACACACACACACACACAATACTAGTTTATGCCAAGTTAGCCATTTGTATCATTTGCTATGTGGACTTAGCACTGAGCCACCCTGCAGATTTGGAGGCACCACTGGGAAGGTGAAAATAATTGCTAGGTATAATAAGGAGAAGAGAAAGTGCAAAGATTCTATCTCCTGTCTTCAGCGGCGGCCTGATATTAGCTCACTGTGTCTTGTGGCACAAGAGCTACGGACGTTTTATGTTTTTTTTGGTTTTGTTTTTGTTTTTGAGAAATTGCTCTGATAGTATAAAAAGGAGAAACTGAAAACCAAGAGGCAGGGTTCTAAAGATAGAAAACCTTTCCAAGCCTTTAAAACATAGTTATAACTCCATAAGTCTTGGAGGAGACTCGGACTGTTGCTCTGAGTCCCTTGGAAGTGAACTTTCTTTTTTGGGGGGTGGGGGGAGTTTGTCTTACTGTCTTCATTTGGTTATGGGAGAAACATCTTCTCTTTGAATTTGTGTATCAGGTTACTACTGCCACAACATAGAAACTATAAAGGTAAAAACCTAAGTCTTATTATGCTTAAGCACAGGCTCCTGAACAAAGATTAGGATTCTAAAGAGGTTTTTTATAGAAAAAAAATTACATCAGAAAGACAGAGAAATCATTTTTGACACATGGCAGTCTTGTACATGCTTTTAGGTCATAACGGCTGAACAAACTGAGTTAAACAGAATCATAATCTCATACAATCTCTAAGGAAACAAACATAGTTAAATGGATTTTGTAGGCAAACTTAAGTCGGGTTATCAGGTTATCATTTAGAGGCTTCAAAATGGGCTGATTGGAAGGGGAGATTTACAGGCCTCAAAAATAACTACTGAGTCAGGAAAACCTTCCAGCCCTCAAGCAAGTGTAACTACTTTGGGAGTCCTTGACCCCCTTTTTGGCTTCTTCTTTGAGGAATGTTTGAGACCTTAAGTAAATTTTCACATCCCATGGGACAGGTTTCAGCCAGCACAATAACCTATCTAGGAGAAATGGCCCTGAAGCCCCCTCCCCAGTAATAAAAATTAATTTAAAAAATCAAAATAAAAAATTCTTACAACAATTTCATGAGTTAGTTTGTTGCAGAAATCAAACGTATGCAGCCAAAAATTCTGCATTCTTTATCTGGTTATCTGGCTACAATTAGTTATTCTTGTGGTCTGATTAGCTACAGAAAAGAATGGTAGAGTGGCAGCTAGGTGGCGCATTGGATAGAGCCCCAGCCCTGAAATCAGGAGGACCTGAGTTCAAATTCGGCATCAAACCAAACACTTGACACTTACTAGCTGTGTGACCCTGGGCAAGTCACTTAACCCAATTGCCTTAAAAAAAATAGTAGAAGGAGAAGGAGAGGGGATTACAAGTTTCTAAGGATCTAAATAACATCAAAGGATACCGCTTTATCCTGACATTTTAATTCTGGCTGGGTTAAAATGTAAAAAAGACAAATGTGAATATAGGGAAGGATGGAATAATTTCCCCTCTCTCATCTTCACTTGTAACTCATGAATAATCTTTATAGATGAATTTCCAAATTCTGGTGGAAGCCAGTATTGAAATTTATGCTGAGTCAATCTAAGGAACTCCATTTTAAATCCCTGTTTAGTCTACCCACCTGCCAGCACATAGGAAAGGGCAGTCTCATGCATTTTGATCCCCTTTCTTTGTCCCTTTCCTTATCTAGTCATTCAGTCTGACTCTTTGTGATGACCCCATGGACCACAGCATTCCAGGCCCTTCTGGCCTCCACTGTCTCCCAAACGCTGTCCAAGATCATGCTTGTTGCTTCCATGACACTATATCCACTTCACTTTCTGCTGTCTCCCAACATGAGGGGCTTTTCCAATGAGTCTGTCTTCTCAGGTAAGAAGCTTTGGCTTCAGTATTTGACCTTCCAGTGAATAGTCTGAATTCATTTCTTTAAGTATTGAGTGATTTGACCTCCTTGCTGTCCAATGGATTCTCAAAAGTCTTCTCCAGCACCATGATTTGAAAGCATCAAGTCTGAAGCACTCAGCTATCCTTAAAGTCCAATCCTCACAACCATACATAGTCACAGGAAAGAACGTAGCTTTGACCATACAGACCTTTGTCAGCAAAGTGATGTCTCTACTTTAGTCTGCTGTCCAGATTTGCCATAGCTTTCCTTCCAAGGAGCAAGTGTCTTTTAATCTCATGGCTGTAGTCACTGTCTGCAGAGATCTTTGAGTCCAAGAATAAATCTGACAGTTTCCATTTCTTTTCCCTCTATTTGCCAGAAAGTAATGGGACCAGTTTTCATGATCTTAGTTTTTTCAATTCGAAGCTTCAGGTCA